CTTGTACCATGTATTGTTATTGACGTCAAATATTGCGAATCAAAAACTCAATATGATTTTTGCACAAATTCATCAAGGACTGACTGGGTTCGAAGGGTTAAACACAAGGTGTTTTTTTAGTTTTTTTCGTCCAAAACATCAATATTTGATTTCAGTCACCACTTCTCGATGAACTTAACATTTGGTTCCGAGAAATTAACTGCTTTGGCTGAGCGCTGTCAAATACTGCAAATCAAAAACGCAATATGATTTTTACGCAAATACCTTAAGGACTGATTGGGTTTGAAGGGTTAAACAAAAGTAAAAATAGTTTATACGCAACATTTTTTCGTCCAAAACGTCAATATTTGATTTCAACCATAACTTTTTGACAAATGTAGCATTTGTGTCCTGAAAGACCAACCACGGCTCTACTACCTTTATTTTACAATGTTTATTCTACGATCAACGATCTTTACTTTAACAATTTAAGAATAGAGTACAGTCCCGGCAGATTTTTTGTGGACCTTACAGATGAAGTAATTGAAAAGTGAAACTTGATTTTTTATTTTTTTTGCTGAATGCTTTCAAATATTGTGAATCAAAAATTCAATATGATTTTTACACAAATTCATCAAGGACTCACAGAGTTTAGGTTCACAGTGTTAACATAAGAGTAAAATAGTTTATGCACATGAGCATTTGATTTCAGTTGCCATTTGGGTCCTGAAGCACCAATCACGGCTCTACAACTTCTTTATTTTAATGATTTAAGAGCAGAATAAGGTCCTGGATGATTTTATTTTGACCTTTATTTTACAATGTTTATTCTACGATCAACGATCTTTACTTTAACAATTTAAGAATAGAGTACAGTCCCGGCAGATTTTTTTGTGGACCTTACAGATGAAGTAATTGAAAAGTGAAACTTGATTTTTTATTTTTTTTGCTGAATGCTTTCAAATATTGTGAATCAAAAATTCAATATGATTTTTACACAAATTCATCAAGGACTCACAGAGTTTAGGTTCACAGTGTTAACATAAGAGTAAAATAGTTTATGCACATGAGCATTTGATTTCAGTTGCCATTTGGGTCCTGAAGCACCAATCACGGCTCTACAACTTCTTTATTTTAATGATTTAAGAGCAGAATAAGGTCCTGGATGATTTTATTTTTTATTTTTTTGGAAGTCTAAACCTTTCAAAACAGGCGATTAAAAGAAGTAATTGACATTTTTGGCTGAATGCTGTCAAATATTGCAAATCAAAAATGTAATATGGTTTTTTTGTGCAAATTGGGTTTGGGTTTGAACGGTTAAACAAGAGTAAAAATGGTTCCCACAATACACAATTTTTTCCCTTCTGAAATGTCAATATTTGATTTCAGTTGCCACTTATTGGCGAACGTACAATTTGGGTCTTGAAGCACCAACTATGGCTCTACAACCTCTTTATTTTCACAATTTAAGAGCAGAATAAGGTCCCGGCAGATTTTTTTGTCTGGATCTTCCAGATCAGTTAATTAAAAACAGTAATTGACTTTTTTTTGGCTGAATGCTGTCAGGCATGTTCGATCAAAACAGAGATGAAATCTAGGCCACCATCTACATACTCTCTCAAAGACACTTTCCCCTCATTACATTTAATAGACTGCAATGTTTCCACCTCACAAGAATACAGATCTCCAAATCATTCACAAACAACACTAAATAAAGTATATGGAGGCGTTTTTATTTTCAGCGCCGGTTTCTAGGCCTAACTCCAGTTCTGCATTTCATCACTAGACTCACTTCTATTTGCAATCTGTCGTATGAAGAGTTTGTTAATTATAATTTGTGCAACCTAATGGGTTATGAGAACGGCACGGTTAGTGTGGTTATTAATATCAGCAAACTGCTCGCGCTTATCCACAGATGGTTTCGTGCCTGCAACGTCCTGCAGCCTTCTGTTATATCTCTAATCTATAATTATTATCTAACACTAATATTTATTTGGCCAGAAAGGCGCTACTAATTATGCCGCAAACATGAAGCCATTTCCAGTCAAGGATGAGGTGCTTTTGAGGTTATATAGTTGCTGCAGATCAGACAGAACGTGACGGGCCAATCAAAGCTGATATTAAAAATAAATAACCATTTGATTGGCCAATTCAGGCTTTGTATTGTGAAATGCAATTCTCAAATCATACAACAAATATCCAATGGGGGGCATTAAATACAGTAGGTATGTGTGTGTATACACATAGACACACTAAAATAACTCAATAAAAATGGTTACCTAGCTATATAAATTATGAAACTAAAAAGAAGTTACACTTTAAGTTAAAAAAATATATCTATCATCCATCTTCTACCAATCGATCTATAAAACAGTATCCACTGGTTATCCATGATTATCCATGTATCCATATATAAAATAAAAATGAAATGATTATCTATAAAATATTTTATCAAATCAAAAAATGATTATCTCTCATCTTTTTTTTAATAAATTATAAAAGTTAAAATTAAGTGATCTTTTCATCTATGTATTTGTCTATCAAGCTATAAAATATTTTGCCAGATTAAATATATATCTATTATTTTATCTAATTAAAATAGTGAATTAAAAAAATTATATATATATATATATATATAATTCACTATTTTAATTAGATAAAATAATAGATAGATATTTAATCTGGTAAAATGTGTGTGTATATATATATATATATATATATATATATATATATATATATAATGGATATATAATAAGGTAATGCTTGCAAATATACTCACAGTTATTTGCTGCCAGTGTGGTGCGTATCGCGCACAGGAGCGCAAACGCGTGGAAACTCAGCGCGTCCATCAGCACCACCTTCATCATCTCTCCAAACGCACAACGACGCTTATCCAAGCTGCACTATATTCCCAGCCAGCGTAAAATAGCTCCAAAAAGCCAGTTCGGGGCCGGCTCGGGATCGGCTCCAGCGGCTCTTCGGCTAGTCTGTCCAGTGATGAATCGAATGAGACACTCCCCCCATAGTTCCTCTTAAAGACATACGTTAGGCTTTTCCCACGAGACTCTACGTACACTAAGTTTTCGGCGGGGTTTGTCTGGATGTCTTCAGATCTGCTTCATATTCCGAACTGTACAGGTCCAGCTGAAGTCGAGAAGATACTTTGGTCAGATTGAGACTTGGTGCGTTCTGATGCGCGCAAGACAACAGACACAGGCAGCGTGGAGCGGTTGTGCGCTGTAAGGCGAATGATACGATCTGTGGAAAGCAGTTGAGTTTTGAGCGAGAGAGAGAGACAGAGACAGAGAGAGAGAGAGAGAGAGAGAGAGAGAGAGAGAGACGATTTCAGCAGCACATATGTGTACAGCGCACACTGACGCGCTCCAGTTTTACACAGGACGCGTTGGAGCGCATAGGTTTAAACGTCTGTAACTATAAACGTCTATTTTTTTCGCGCTGTTTCTCAAATCTTCATATAATAGTCTTATATTTGTCTGATACACGTTAAAGTAGTTTGAAAATATACATCTAATAATACTGTGTAAATTAACATCAAGTACACGGTGGCTCTGATGTTTCTCCTAATATCCACTTGAATGTGCGAGACTTCTGGTTCAAAGTGCAACTAAAACTATTTGCTCAACAAACAAATGTGTTTATGATTATGGTAATACATAGTATGATAGCAAATACCAGTTTGCTGTATCATAGGGTGACCATACGTGCCATTTTCCCAGGACGCGTCCTTGCTAGGATTTGTTTTGGCTTTGTTTTTTCCTGTTTTCATGCTTGCTGAAGGTAATGATCGAAAAGTAGTTTGACCAATAACATGCAGGCATTGTACATAATGGAGCAATCATGGTGTGTGTGAGAAGGTGGGATCTACGATCAAAGCGATGCAATTACGCGTACATAGTATGTGTGTTCGACTTCAAAGCAGCGCGGCTCAGACCGATCAGTGTTTGACATCAAAGTACCTCGAGAGCATTTTGAAAGCACAAGGAACCATCTGTATGGTATTTTGATGTCATTCACAGATCGGTCTGTACATGCAAACAAAGCCAAAACCTAGATATTTTAGGCAATATAGAAATCCTGGGAAAATGGCATGTATGGTCACCCTACTGTATCAGGCACATAATGGACTGTTGTTTACAGGTAAAATAACTGGAAATGAATGACTCCGGGACCCTCACACATTCAAGTTACAAATGGCCGCGCCACTCTTACAGTCAGTTAAACTATAAATTAAAAATATACAAGAATCCGGATAGGCAATTCTTATATCACGGCCAATTTGTACATATTTTACTAGGTGCTTAAAGCCGAGGTCACACTACACTTTTTGTTCTATTGACTTCCATTCATACGCATGCAAATGCGTCAGACCGGAAACGCACGCCCGTGCGAAAAGTTTTAGGTGTATTATTGTTTATGTGTTGAATTTAAGTTTTTAAAAAGACGCTGCAGAGCATGACATCATATCACGACCATTGCAGTGTCCGAACGAATTTTGCATGCTCAAAGTGTAGTGTGACCGCGGCTTAATTCGTACAAATGGTCGTACGAATTTCTGTGACGGTTAAGTTTAGGGGCGGGGTTAGGTGTGGTCTTTCGTACGAATTCGTACAAATTTGCCACCTCGTAAAATACGTATGATTTTTCACAAATCGTACAAATTCGTACGAGCTCACTTGTTTGCCACCTTGTCAAATATGTACGAATTGCCGTGAGATCGGCTTGGGATAGAACTCCGCCTTTAATGTAAAAAATCAACCCATGAGACATTCGGTGAAGGTGAGCTGCATTCCACACAGGAATGAAATAGTGGCTAACAGTTCATTTTTATGAAAGTTGAGCTTCAGAGCATGAAGCTCAACTTCTTAATCAATTAAAAGCGCTCACTCCACTCCCCTCCAGTGGACGTGCACCATAACAACGAAAAGTCTAAATCTTCTGACACAACCAGAATTTCGTGGAGGTAAAGTTTGATCGCAACGGTCATTAATCGGCTGTCAGTGAACATGTCAAAGTAACGACCAAAGACTTCAGATTTTAGCCTAGGATCAGAGGAATCCAAATCGTGGCCGAAATCGTACATTGTGCACCCGGCTTATTGCACAGTTGAGATGTCTTCTAAGACTATTGGAGACATGTAAAAAAACATAACATTTCACATTAACTTCTGTTTTTAACATCTTGCGATATGAGTCTCAAATATTCGTATACTATTTCAACCCGATCTCATGAAATTGTGTATAAATAGAACGCCAAATAAAAACGAAAACTTGTGGTATTGATACGCAAAAATGGACTTTGGCGTGTATATGCTACGCGATGGGTAGGTTTAGGGTTGTGGGGTAGATGCGTATCATATGTATGTGAAAACTGCATATCATATGCACGCCAACAAATTTCGTATCATATGCACGCGAAAACTGCGTATAATATGCATGCCAAACACATGCGTATCATATGCACGCCAAAGCAGGGTGCAATCTACGGGGGAGCTAGGGGGAGCTCGGCTCCCCTTAATAAGACATGGGCTCCCCTGAAAACGTGATTTGTGAAATTTTGGGGGTGTCTCAAAAAATATTTACAATGTGTTATTTTGACATGCAATTTCAGTTTTGTGTAATGTGATCATCGTGGATTATTATGTGTAAAATTGTAAAAAATATCATTCATTCATGCATGACGGCGATTTAAACCTAATTCACGTCAATAAAGATAACTATACATGCTATTCTTGTCATGAGCATCAAGGTGTGGGGGCGCTGCGGTGCAAATTCCACTCTTGTTTAGTACGTTAACTCAAAAGATTCGTAGAAAAAATATAAACGTTGGACTCTGTGGTCGATTCTGTGCTAAGGTAAGGCATGTTATTCGCAATTATGTGTTGTGGCTCTCGATGTCTTAGGCCTAATTGAACGGAGGAATTATGGTATTCTTCTGTAGCCTGACGACGACTAACTTTACGTTAACCATTGTTCATGTGAACTCAAAGACAGCCTGATGCTTTGTTTATAGACTATTTGTGGGTGGCTGTTTGTGGTTTCACCTATCAATTCGTGTCGATAAAGTATAACAGGGTAAATCCTGTATAGTGATTTATCCTATATAGTGCTTGCATAAAGCAAGTAGTGCATACA